GGTGGGTTCATTTTCATCTAAAACCACCTGTTGTCAAAAAATAAAAAATTCAAGTTAATTGATTTATTTGTTCAAGAGATTCTGCTATTATGAAAAACATTTGTTTCGAAAAAATTATGTTTGAAGTTTTAAATGACAACCTTTCACTTTGCGTATCATTCTAATTATATTTTACAGCTTCTTAAATTGTTCAGATTTCAAAATATGCTTCTCCATAGACACTCTACGTGTCTAAAATGTGTAGAGTATAAAAAAATTCTGTTCTACTCTAGACCAGAACCCCTTATTAAATGATACTTAGCTTAATAATAAACTGAAATAAATCTATTAAGTATGTTCCTATAATTTTTCGTTTTTGAATACCTTATAAAACAAGTTTTTGTTAAATTATAAATTTGTTACGTTCATTACTGACTTTTGTTGTATGTTAGAAAAAATTTATTATATTAGATACTCGAGAAAGTTCGTGCAATTTTTGTCAGCTCGGTCACATCTCCAAATATTTTGTGATGTTCCATTGAATATACGCCTATCAGAGTTCTTCAACACTACGCATAGTTAAATAACTACTTCTGCTTTACAAATTTACACTACCTGTGTAAGCGGCTGAGGCAGCCAGAAATATGATTCAAAAAAAGTTTCGTTTTATATGAATGTAATGCACAAAAGTGGTTACAAAAAATTTTTAAATGAACATAAAGTAGTTTAAAATGAACCATGAGACGAACATTCTATTATTAATAAAGACTTGCAGGACATTGTTAATGTTGATGTAAAAGCAACATGTAAAAAATTCACTACAAGGTCTCATGATCATGAGAAAGCAATTCACATTTGTTTACATAAAGTAGAAGTGTGCAAAATTAACAAAGGGTACCGTACCATCTAACAAGGGAACATATGGAAGTGTCAATCATCGATTTTCATGAAATTTAAGTATAATGTAGTTCTCATAAAAATATTTGACACGTATTTTTTTTATCGGCAACCGTCCATGTTAACCCTTTACGGACGGGACGGTTCGAAGCCAAGCGTTCCGCGGGGCCGAGCCGCTGTCGCGATAGTCGTTTGAAATTGCCAGCGCTCCCAAACGCATATATGAGTTCCTCGGCCAAATTTATGGTTTACGCAGAACGCATATATGCGGTGGTAGTCCACAAAGGGTTAAAGGGGTGAAAACCACCCCCAAAGGTGAGGCTGCGAAAGCTATTTCGACGAATATCTCGGAAACTACTAGAGACAGAGTAATTGTGTAAATTGATGAAATTAGTATCTTTTAACGACGAATTCGATTGTGTAAAGTATTTTGCAAAAAATCCATTTGTTTACATAATATATTAAAAAATAGCTAAATGTTGATAGATTTTTTTGAATATTTGTTTATAAAAACTATACATCCAAGCACAAATTAGTAAACCCCTATAATAAAGCGGGTGATAGCGGTGGAACAATCCGTGCACACACCCGTTTTATAACAACGGATAAATTGAAATTTTGATTTTGGCATTACAAAAAAAATTAGTATATTTGAAATGGTATTTTACAATAGCGTGCGTGGTGTAGTCGGTAATGAGTCAAGCCGCTAAACCTTATCATCGCAGCTTAAGCAGAAATCAAGCAGCCACTGGAATGAAAGCCACTTCCCTGCCATCAAAACAAAAACATGCTTACGCCATTTTCTATGGTATGTACAACCACACACACTAAGGTATGTACAACCGCAAATAAAATACAACTCAGTCCTAACAGGCAGGAAAGAAAACATACAGACACCTCAAATAGACAATTTAAACAAACTATTTGGAGAAATGGACAAACTCAGCAATCTTGTTAACATTCAGGAAATGATCGAACTCGTCTCTGAACTAAACGTCTTGTTAACCAATTGCAAAACACCTATGGAAAAATTCCAGGTATTCTATAACTTCAGTATCAAATTAAATGGCTTAAAGAAGTATTAAAATATGCAACTGGAACGCGAATGGTATAAGGAGGAAAATAACTCAACTGGAAGAAGCAGCTAACAGGTAAAAATTGGACATACTACTCATCAATGAAACCAAACTAAAAAATCAAGAAACACTAAAAATCAGAGGCTACAACGTCATAACACAGAACAGAACCATAGAAGCAGGTGGGGGTGTAGCCATAGCAATAAAACGTGTCATACCATATGAGAAGCGATACGTCAGGCACACAGTAACCATACACATAATAGCGGCCTATAACGCACCAACTAACTTATTTACAGCGAACTATCTGGACACATTTCTACAAATCTCGGGCAAGGTACTTCTAAATGCCAAGCACATAAATTAGAATGTCGCAACTGCAACACCAACGGAACAACACTGAACACGTATGTCCTCCAAAATAGCGTAGCGGTATTGCACACTGATACCCCCACCTACACACCATATAGCAACTACACGCAGTCAACAATAGACATAGCGATAAACAAAGAAGTCACCAGCGCCACCCATCTGAATACAATAAACGTACTTAACTCTGATCACCTACCGAGAGTCCTCATTCTCGAAAGCGAATACAGAGACAGAGCAACTAGACGTATCTATGACTATAGCGCAAGAGACTGGAACACCTAGCGAAAAATATTAGTCTCCGAAATAACAATAAATAACAAAATAGATACGACCTCCCAAATCAAAACAGAAACAATCAAACTAACACAAGCTATCCAGAAAGCAGGAAATAAAACCATAACCCAACGCACAGTAAAAATTAAAGGAACCTTCCTTCCACAAGACATCATAGAAGAATTAAACAAAGAAATCGCCTTACAGAAGAAAATAGCAACAAATAGCGCTACCCCACTACAAGAAACTACATATATACACAGCAGGCAAAAACAGTAAGATACCTCATCAGAAAGTACAGGAAGGAAAGAAAAACTCTCCAGCCTTAATGTCCAGGAAATAAGCCTCTGGAGGATGACCAGAACGCTCAAGTCGCAATTTGAACCAATATCAACTCTTAAAACTGACAGCACAATAGCACTCACGGACAAACAAAAGGCGGAAGCATTAGCTAACCAGTTTGAGCCAGTACACAAAATCGACCTAATCTCCTGTTCTGAAGAACAAACAAAAATAACCAACACAGCTCGTACATACCTTGAAAACCCCAACGAACATAACTGCAACAACAGAATCCGTAGAACCACACTGCAGGAAATTACAAAAATAATCAGCAAGATAAAACCTTGCAAGGCCCCGGGCCAAGATGGCATACAAAACATACTTCTAAGGAACCTCTCCAAAAAAAAGCCCTGGTATAGCTCTACTACATAAACCAGCTATACTCGAACAAGCGTACTTCCCGGACTACTGGAAAATAGCCAACATCATCGCCATACATAAACCTAGCAAACCGAGGGAAAACCTAACCAGCTACAGGCCAATCAGCCTACTCCCCACATTAAGCAAGATAGCAGAGAAAATCATACTTGACAGAATTAAATACTACGAACCACTCACAGAAAATAATAGATGAACAATTTGGATTCAGAGACAAACATAGTACTGTACAGCAAATAGTAAGAATAGCCAACGACATCAGCACTAACTTCAATAGGGACAAAATCACAGTACCAGCACTGCTAGACATTCAGAAAGCCTTCGACAAGGTATGGCAAGATGCTCTAATCTTCAAAATGATCGGACAAGGCTACTCCGGCAACGCAATCAAACTGATTTACTTGTATCTAAAAAACAGGAAATTCAAAGTTCTATACAACAGCACATTCTCAGAAACCAAAACCATACCAGCCGGGGTATCACAAGGCTCAGTCCTAGGACCCTTTCTGTTCACAATCTACCACATCGACATCCCCCTATTTAGCAAAACTAAAACAGTCCTTTTCGTTGATGATACGGCACTGTATGCACACTCCTTCAGAGCAGTGGTAGCAGCTAAGCAAATTCAGATACATTTACACATCTTGGAAAAGTACTTTAACAAATGGAAAATAACCATCAACGTCAACAAAACCGAAGCTATAGTTTACACCAAAAAACACAAAGAAAGCAAAGTATTCACTCCTATAACAGTGCACAATGACAAAATACAGTCCACATACTGCGCAAAATACCTCGGTGTGCATCTTGACTCAAAATTAACTTATCGCAGACACTTTAAGAAAGTACTCAAGAAAGCACATGCAGCACTGAAAAAAATCTACCCCTTTATGATCAGAAACTCCTCAGTCCATATCAACAATAAACGTCTTCCAGCCATCCTCAGGCCATCATCCGCAGCACCATCAGCTATTAGACCACTCCAAACCTTCCAAAACAAATGCCTAAGACTGATCCTCAACAGAAGAAGATACGAAAAAATATTCGACCTTCACATTGGAATTCCATACTAGGAAGCTAGTAATTAGTAATTAGATCTACTCCTCTAATCTGATGCTTCACTACTTTATTGTAGTGAATTCCCATTGTTGCTTCCATTTCTGCTTCTCTGTATCATTTGCATGGTGTGGTGCATGGCGTGCACATCCTCGTCTGCCGACTAACATATGTAACTTACCCCCTACTTATGTTCTAGGTTTTTTGAAAATTTTCCCCTAGCACAATCTCAAGAAGGCCGAGTCCGTATCACTTCAAGGCGGTAACACCAAACACCATTAATACATCTGGTAAGATGTATTTCTTTACTCGACTAGCTTTGGCAGACGGATCACAGCTATTCTGACCCACGCATACCGAACAAATCCTAAGACACTACCTCTGACTACGACAAATCTGGACAGAAGGATCCTAGTCATCCGCAACCCAGTGCATCGAACATGAAGATCTCTACTTTACTTGGCAAAAGGATTTCAGCTATCCTGAACCAAGTACATGAAATCAAACTTCCTCGCTCTACCGTACTCCTAAAAAACTTTGCTCGTGCGCCCATCAGATAGTGAGATATCACTGTCACGATCGAGTAAAAGTACGCGTTGCACAATTTATTAAAAGTTTGTCAATTATAATTTGTTATTTAAAAACAAGTGTGACTGATATTTTTATAATTTTGGAACAAATCCCAAAGAGATGTACGAAGTGTGATACTAAAGTTTCAAGAATAATTAATTTAAAAATTTTATTTTGACAATTAAACAGAAGCCATCACCTTCAAAGTATAGAACTTCTCCTTCAAATCGAATCATGTATCAACACGAAAAATAATAAAAAATATGTCAAAACTTGCCACTACTTTCGAACTTGAAAAGTTGCACGAACTTTCTAAAATATCTAATAATAACACATTCAAATGTTTATCTGGCTTTGCACTGTAAATAGTTTTTAAAACATATGTAATTAAAAAATGTATTTATGACCTACTTTCGCTAATTTATAACTTGCGAACTTGAATACTTTCATAATTTTACTTTCCTGGAGAATATAATGGTTAGAATTAATATTAACTTGGAATTTATTCTTTTCCTGTTTTCGAAAGATTAACATTGTGTCATACAAACCTGATAGCCCAAAAATCTAAAAACCCATAAAAATCTAAAAATTAAGATTAACCTTCGTAGCGTGAAGCTCGACGACCTCGGGCCGGCATTCTTCCTTGTACCGCCGAGGAACGAAGTTAAAATAGAAGAACCAAGAACAATACGCCGTAATTTATTTTTCAATCTATCCTTATACATTCTATCACGTGCACCTGACTGATACCTGGCGTAGCGAATTTCATTACAAATCACTATTGTAACTGTTACTGTACACGATGCAATGTCAGAGCTTATTTACTATCAGGATTGTCGCACGCGCTGTAACGAAGAGTGTACAGACATGCTTTTTACATTGGGAACATATAGTGGAAATAATGGTCGTCATCCAGACATGCGAGTTATCGCAAGAACTGAACATAGCCTTAGAGAGTATGGTTCTTTTCAGTTATTGAACGAAGGAATCCGTGATAATGTAAAAGGAAGAATGTACAGGGTGTATATTGCTAATTAAATACATTAAGCTATGGTTGTATCACATACATATAGAAGTTAATAATATAGTGCCAAGATTATTTATTTAATTTTAAAGCATAATTGAATCTTTAAATCTGTTTTTCTCACATACACTAAAAGTTGACATACAATATTCGTACCATAAATCATCGATATCTTAAGAAATAATTGATAGGTAAGTATTGATAATAAACAACCTGACATTGTATCGTGTACAGAATAATCACAGTAACGGTTTGTAGTGAAATCCGTTACATCAGGCATCAGTCAGCTGGACACGTACTTGATTGATTTTCAAATTTATTCTTTTTTTTTTTTTAATGAAGCTTCCTACGACAAAAACGTATTCATTTCGACTTACTTTGAGCCACGAAATCTCCCTCACCCCATTTGTATCACGATTTACAGCCCACGGTGTAGAATAGTTTAAGCTACTGATGTTTTCAAATTGTATGAAACGATTGTTAATTCTTCCGTAAACCTTTACTGAACTTTTTTATTTACCTTTACCTTTTATCTTATACAGTGGCGAACAAAAGTATTGGCACACCCTTCGAAACAGAATAACTTTTTTTAAATTAAACTAAACGACTTGAACTTTTCTGAGAAGTTAGAAGGATTAGTTTACTAGATAGCGTGTAAAAAAACTTTTTTTAAAATTGCAATTGGTCGGAATCGCGAAGAAAATAGTATAGAAACCGTGGAAAAAAATCGAGGGATCCAAGCGGACCCTCTGGCGACACTACGCCAATAACGGCCTCTTCGTTATTTCTCGTCGATTCTCTATTTGCGTATAGAGACCCCCAATCCTAGAATAGTGAAGGTCGCTTTTCACAACTTTTTTATGTGAGCCTGTAATGAAAATTTAAAAAATACGTTTTGTAGATTTGTACCAGTTATATAGATGCTGAAAATTTCATCAAAATCGGTTGATGCAGAAACAAGTGACAGGCATCGAAAGATGTAATAATCTTTAGAGTTAATGCAGTTACAACCCGAAAGTCGGGAAAACCTGCGATTTTCACTATTTTTAACCGTTTGTAACTCAGAGCAATGTTAAACGTCGTACGTGCCAGTGAAATACTGCTATCCTAAATTCTAATGTCGAATTGCTATTCTAAGTTCCAGTAGCCTATAGCTTTCACAAATAGTGTGACGCCGTTTCAAGCAGCAGTGGAGTATTGCTATAATCCTATTCTAAGTTCCAGTGGCCTGTATTTTTGTCAATCGGTTGATGCAGAAACAAGCGACAGGCATCGAAAGATGTAAGAATCCTTAGATTAATTACAGTTATAGCCTGAAAGTCATGAAAAACTACGATTTTCACCATTTTTAATCGTTCGCATCTCGTAACAACGTTAACAGATTTCCATGAAATTTTCAGCATATATGTAACTGGTATAAATCTACAAAACATATTTTTTA